TGTGCTCCTGTAAAGATTTGCAGTCTCAGAAACCCTACATGGGGTCGCTCTGAGTTGAATCAACTCAATGGCAGTGAGTCTGGTGTTTTTGGTTTGGTCTCACCTCTTGGACTCAATAGTAACAACAGTAAGGATGTTACTAGCTGTTTTAATTAATTCTTTACATTTACACAGCACTCTACAATTTATCCAGTACTTTCTCATCAGCATTGAATTTGATTCTATTTGGAATTCTGGTGTGGCACTAGACTGCAAGGTCGGCTTGAACCACAAGGTCTGTGGTTCAAGCTCACCAGCTGCTCTTCAGAAACCCTGTACATGGTTGCTATGAGTTGGAACCTATTCAACATCACTTAACATTAGTCTTAGCTTAAGTGCTGTTGAGTCGGTTCCAACTCATAGTACCCCATATAGGGTTTCCAAGGAGCAACTGGCGGGTTTGAACTGTCAACCTTGTGGTTAGCAGTCCAGTGCTTATCCTACAGTTCCATACCAGGACTCTGGTGTAGGATAAGCACTGGACTATTAATCGCAAGGTTGGTGGTTCGAACCCACCTGTGACACCTTGGAAACCCTATAAGGGCTCGCTATGACTCAGAATCAACTCAACAGCACTAAACAACGGCAACAACCGCTAGTCCTATGGAATGGACATTAGCACATTCACTTTTGAGCTGAGGAAAGCGAGGTTCAGAGAGATTAAGCAAACGGCCCAATTCTACACAGTTGGTGAAATGGCAGAGCTAAGGAACAAGCTCAGGTCTTCTGGTTCCAATCCTTGGAAAGGCTAGCATTCAGCTGCAGTAGACCACCATAGAGGTATGGTGGGGTAGTATGGTAGGGTGTCCGGAGGGGCATGACGGTGGCATAATGGAAAGCATAGTGGGGTGACATGGTGAGGCATGGTAGAGTGGCATGGTGGGGGACTAGTGAGGGGCATATTAGAGTGGCATGGTGGCATGGTGGGTGACCTAGTGGGATGATATGGTGGGGGCAGAGTGGAATGGCATGGTAGGCACATGGGGCCATGGTGGGGTATGGTGATGGCATGGTGGGAGTATGATGGAGCAGAGTGAGGAGCATGGTGAAAGCATGGTGGGACATGGTGGGTGGTATAGTGGGGTATGATGGTGGATGACATGGGAGGGCCATGGTGGGGGGCATACTGGTAGTCTGTGGGAAATATGGTGGAGTGACAAAATGAGGCACGCATGGCAGGAACATGGTCATGGCTTTGTGTGTAGCAGGGTTGTGGCTAAATTTTTCTTTTACCCTGACAGCCACTAATGGAATTATTTATGCTTTTAAATCTTCTTTCTAGTGTTTCTGGTCAATTTCCTAAGGCTAACAAATCCAGAGTGTGGAGTTGCTAATAAGAAGACTTCAGAACCTTTGCCTCCTGGAGCCTCAGTTTCCTCATCTGAAAAAATGGGTCCAGACTCCAGCAAGGCAGGCTATGGTGAGAAGTAAGTGGAATCATGGGCACCATGCCCTTTAGAAGCCATGAAGGACTTCACGAGGCTGCTTATTTTTCACATTTTGTGTTCTTTTTCTAAAAACAATCAGTGGGTGCTATGCAGAGGGGTGGGGTGGGCTTCTGGGAGCCTGGGAGTGGTTCTGGGAGGGGGTGTGGGTGACAGCTCTTCCTTTCCCCCTGCCTGGGTTCGGCCTGGCCTTCCCCCACCCTCAGCCCAGAAGCCTGTTTCTAGGCAACAGGATGGATGCAGGGATGGTTCGGAGGGGAGAGAGCTATAAATAGGGAAGGGCGAAAACAAAAATAAAGTTCCAGAGAAAGCAGTAGAGCTGGGGGGATGGGCTGGAAGGGGGGTGGGTGAATGGTGTGGACATGGGGTTGGCCCCCAGTCCTTCATCAGCAAAAGGCCAGTGAGGGTCCTTAGATAGTGACATGGTCAGGGGTTGGGTGGAGAATCTCCGTGCACAAATGAGCAGGATGGGGTGATGAGGAGAAATCACTTCTGACAGGGGGGCCCAGGGAAGGCTTCAAAGAGTGAAGGAGTTCAACAGGCAGAGGGAAGGGCAGTTGAAGGGGAGAGGCTACGGAGAGAAGCAAGTGGAATTACGGGCACCATGCCAGCAAGGAAGCCTGTGTCTGAGAATCTTGGGTGGTCTAGCCAGGCCTCAACCACACTGTGCATATAGGACACCCTGAGCACAGCATAGAGGTAAGCCCTTCCTCCACTTGAAACAGAATCCCTCCTCCTTTCATTCTAACCTCACTTCCTCAGAGATCTGACCTGACCACCCACTAACCCTTCCTTGTCCTGGTTTATCTCATCAGTCTGCTTGGTGTTCCTGTATGTTTGTTGATGGCCTTGTGACATCTGGAATGTGAGCTCAGACGGGGCTATACCTTGTGGCTGTGAGGTAAGTGTACAGTGCACACTTGTTGAATGATTTCATGGACGAACACAACACATGGGATAACACCCATCAACATGCATGAGTACATTGAATGAGGTCGGTAACCTCCACTCTGTGGTCTCCATGTTTCCTGTTGTTGTTTGTTGGTCCCCCCTCAGAGTCAGAGCAAATCTCTCTTGGAAAAAAACAAAGGAGTTAGGCTTCAGAATTAGACGTGGACTGAGTGTGGCTTTTGTGGCTTCTCAGAAATATGATCTATAGTAGTAACTTTGTCTCTCCAGGCTCTACTCCTTCATCTGTAAGATAAGTTGGTGGTAAGGCAACCTTGAGTATGGTTTTAAGTGAAATGAGTGGTGGTAGCCAGTGTCTGATGCTTGGGACATCTTGGGCGCTCAGGAAATAGCTCTGTCCTCGTTACGAAGGAGTAGCCCAGGAGCTGTGTGTTCTCAAGCGCATGCGCACACAGTCAGCATTATAGTCTGAGCCAGCGTTGGCATCTTCCGCAGACGCTTTCTGGGCCTGTGCCTGGAATAGGATTTCGTGACCCTGGCAGGTAAGAACATTGCCTAGAACCAGGCTCAGTGGGGCCTGGTGAAAGGCTGGAAACCAAGAAGGAAAAATACTCTCCACTGGCCGAGGGGCTGGTGTTGGCAGCTACAAATGGGGATCAGGGGCCAGTGGCTGCAGTAGTAGTGATCACAAAGTCATATTCTGTATAGTCTATGCAGTTCATGAAAGTGAATACAGAAGATTAGTGTAATCCAATAAGAGAGGAGGCAGGGCCACCTGGAAAAGGATTTTACATTTTTTAAAGTCAAAGCGTCATGCCTACTAATTAAACACATAGGCCAAATTCAGCCTGAGTTCACAATCTTTAAGTCAACCAAAAGGGGACAGACACCTAAGTGAGTCAGAGAACCAAAGCCCACCAGCTTTTTCTCCCTCCACATGTGTCTGTCAGCTGCATCCAGCTTCCAGAAATAATTTACACTGCAGGCCACGGTGACCCGAGCTGGTCAGTCTCTTCCAGCGTTCAAGACTCCCCTGGCCTTACACCATCTCCATTCGCAATAAATCAGGGAGGGAGTGTTAATACTTGAGGATTGATTGACTAGAGAAAGGCAAGACTTGTTCACCCGAATGGAGACTGGACTGCTGCATAGAAGGGGGCGGGGCCTCTGGCCGACGAATTTGGGGGCCTCTGCGGCAAAGAAAAGCTGGTCTTCCGCAGGGACAGGGGCGGGGCCTCTGCAGAGATGTGGGCGGAGCCTATGTGTGAGTTGTGATACACGGCCACTGCCGCAGATGAGGGCAAGAATGAGGCTTCGACTGGGGAGGGCTCGTGCACTGATGGGGCGGGGCCTCTGAAAGGCCCTTGCTGCGCCAATTCTGGTAAGGCCTTAGCGTTGATGGGGCGGGGCTTTTGCGCAGAACCCGCGGAATCTCAGATGTGGTCTTCCCCACGAAATGCGGCATAGGGGCCCCCTAGTGCTGGTTGTGTTCTGCGGAGGCTTGAGATTTCTGAGGACTCCATAGCCCACCTCAGTGGGGGGATACCAGTCGCCGAAGCCCTGCCCCCTTCTGGGACACCTGCCCATTATCCCTCCTGGTAGACTGGGTTCGCCGTAGTTGTGCGCAGAGGTGCTTTTGATTTAGAGTAAGGGAGGTCTGTCTCCGCGTAATAGCGTCTCCCAGTGCCAGCTCTGCTGATTTCAGATTGGACTGCGAACCACAATGTCGGTAGTTCGAGCCCACCAGCCGCTCCCTGGGAGAAAGATGAAGCTTTCTGCTCCCACAAAGATTTAACGCCTCGGAGACGCTATCAGGATCGTTAGGAGTAGGAACCGACTCTACAGCACTTAACAACTCCGCTGCACATAGGCAACTGTGAATGCAAGCGTGCATGCATTCATGTGTGCGCGTGTTCACCCATTATGGTGTGTACACTCGGGTTCGCGTGAATACACCAGCGTACGTGCACACACGTCCGTGCGTGCGTGCGTGGGTGCCGTGCGCTGCATGTGCACCTATGTGAGCTGGGACTCGGATCCCCAGCAGGCGTTTTACTGCCCAGCAGGTGGCGCCCGAGGCCACATTGCAGCTCCCGAGGGGGTGATCCCACTCCTCACCAAGACGGCACGCGGGTTGGAGATGGAGAAGCTGAGATGACCCGTTTTGTACCAGGGCTGAGTGTGCCTGCCCTCAAAACCTGGAGTGGGGCAGGTCACCTGGAAGCCCGTCAACCGCCCCAGTGCCCGGCCCAGCTCTGCCCGTGCGGCGCCAGCTACAGACAGTTTGGTTTTATTCATGGACACGTCGGGGGCGGCAGGGTCGACCGCCCACCTGGGACACGCTCACACTAGGGGATGGGGAACTCTCCATGCCACAATCACAACACACGATGCCCGCGCTCGGACCGGGCCGGCTTGGGAAAGGGGGCATGGCACAGCCTGGCTCCTGGTTTTGGTTGAAAAAAAAAAAAAAAAGGTCTTGGGGTTGATGTGGAAGTGGGCTAGAGGGGCTCTGGGGCTGCCCGGGAGCGCCTCGGAGAGTTTTAGTTGGGGGTAGGGGAGCCGTCGCTTTTCAATCTTCTTTTAAAAACATAGAACATGCTCATCCGCGCAGACACTGGACTGGAAAAGGGCAGGTAGAGGGCAACACTGGTGGGAAGAGGTTTCCAGCCGCGGCCGCAGGCAGCCCAGGCCTGTCCTCACTCCAGGGATAGACGCGGCGGGTAGGGCAGACTGACTGATAGACACGAACACTGGCTCCTAGGGGGTGCCTTGGAGCGGAAGATCTTGTGTTTGGGGGGAAGGGGCAGAAGGACAGCCCTGGCTCTGGGGGGTGGGGCAGGGAACAGGATAGGATTGTGCTGCTGGTGGGAAGCCGTCCTGGGCCCTTACGCTTCTGGCTCATACTCCTGATACTCCTCCTGCATCACAGGGATGGGGTGAAGTGGAGAAAAGGAAAAGGGAGGTGCTTGGAGATAAGTAATCACCACGCTCTCACCCCATGCCCCTCCCCCTCAAAGAGGAACAAGGCACGCCTCTCTCCCTGCGAGGGAGGGACGAACTTACAGCTGGGTTTTGGCAGAACTTTTCCTGACCAGGGGTACCTGGAGCCCAGTGATAGGCTCCATCGTCCCCTTCCCACTCTGCACCGTCCTTCCCCGCCCCCCAGCATCTCAATTCTAGAGAAAGGAGGCCTCCTGTTGGGGTGCCAGCAGTTTCCCTAGATGCCAGGAGCCCCATTCAGTCTGACTACCTCCTCACCTGGGGTGGTTCATCATAACTTTCCCCTTCTGGCTCCATCAGGGGCTCGATCAGCGACTCCTCAGCAACTTCCTGGGCCACTTCCTCTGGCTGCAGGCAGAGAAGGGACAGGGCCCATGAGGGAAGCCAAGGATGGTCCCCAAATTCAACCTGGAAAGCTTTTGATTGATTAGCAAGAGTGAGGAGGGCTAAGCTGTGTGTTAACAGTATAAGCAGCATTAAAATTGTTTATTTGGATTGCCTTGAAGTGGGATGGAGGAGATGTGAGGACTGTGGTGCTGTAGGATAAGCACTGGACTGGACTGCAAGGTCAGTTTGTACTGCAAAGTCTGCAATTCAAACTCACTAGCCACTCTTCAGAAGCCCTATACAGGGTCACTATGAGTCAGAAGCAACTCAAAGCCACTTAACAACAACAATCACCATTTGAGGAGTCCTGGTGTGGCACTGAAGGATAAGCACTGGACTGCTAATCGCAAGGTTGGCAGTTCAATCCTACCAGCCACTGCTTGGAAACCCTTTACAGGGTAGGAATGAGTTGGAACTGACTCTACCAGCATCTACCAACCATAACAAATCACCATTTGAAGCTAGGGGTGACGAGGGGGAGCTGGGCTCTCCTTACCTCTCCCCCAGAAGTCCCCTTCTGCACCCCTTATTTGAACTAGATGAGATAGGCACCACACTCTCATCAATTTACCCCTAGTCCCTTCTTTACAGGCTCTGTCCAGTGCATCAGATAACACTGGTGGCTCCCCTGGGCCAGGGCTCAGGAATGGGGCTGGGCAGGGGCTTTGAGCCATTCCCCTACCACCTTCCACTCATACTTCCCTCAGGGCCCTGCATGGCCTGATTTCTTCAGCTGTTGCTATTTTAAGATAAGCTGGAAGCAACAGCTCATGGTGTTGCTTGGATGTGTGAGCTAAGACTCTCCCCTCCCCCACTGCATCTGCTGCCCAAAAAGGCACAGACCAGCGGGTACATGGGGCGCTGCCAGACACATGACCAATCACCTGCAGGTGAGCCCATGTATGTGCACATATGTGGGACTGAGCTGACTGCACACACATTAACCTGGGTACCTGTACACTGTCTCCCTGGCAAGAAGGGATAGGAAAGAAGGAGGGATGGAAACTGTAAACACACAGTACAAGTGGGAAGAGTGCTGTTACATTGTGGGAATGCAATCAATGTCACGAATCAAAAATGGGCATGAACTGTTGAATGGAAAATCAATTCGCTCTGTAAACTTCTACCTAAGTCACAACAAAAAGTTAAAAACAGAACAAAACTCTGGAGCACTTCTACATGAAGACACATGGGGTCGCCATGAGTTAGAATTGACTCCACAGCAACCGATACGATATGGTACGCATACATACTGTATGCACTCCTAATGAGTGGAGGTAACAGTGTTGGGACCCGGGAGAGTTTACACTAAAAAGATACACTCTGACCAGGCCTGTGCACTCCTTGCTCCAGCCTCATCCAAGTAGCCTCAGTTCCTGTACTGTGTGAGTGGGCCCTGTGGGCATATGAGTTTACAGCTCCTTCCTGGCTCCTTTCTTCCATTTCACAGATGGGGATATTAAGGCCCAGGAAGTGAACAAATATGTATTTGTCCAAAGTCACCCAGCAATTTAGTTCCAGAGCCATGACCAGAAGCCAGCGAAGAAGCATGAGGTTAAAACCCCGTTTGAACACATTATTTGGAAAGAGTCCAAATGTCAATGATAGAAGAAGGGCTGTGTGCATTCTGGTATGTCACATAATGGAATCCAATACAACTAGCCCCAAGAGCAACAGTTACAAACAACACCATGGTTACAGCTCATAGACTTACTATTGAGTGAAAGAATCCAATACAGAAGAGCATGGATTTCATGGTAACCTTTATACAATGTTTAAAGAAAAACAAAAAGCCACAGCTAATGTGTGGTAATAGAATGTCAGTGAGCCTTGGAGGCAGATGGGCAGGGCCAGGACTGTCGTGAGGTGAGCATAGTACCTGGGGGACACATTTTAAGTAGGCACTCAGTCTCAGAGACATGTAAGTGAGATCCCTAGAGTGAGGACCTTAGAACAAGGACTCTAGTCGTGGTCCTGGGGATGGGCTAGATGAAGGGCACCAAGGTGCGTCTGAGGTGCTGACATTCTGTCTCTTGCTGTGGGTGCTGATCAGAGGAGTTCCCTTTGGAAAATTTCCTGGAGCGGCTTGTTTTCTGTATACATGCTATCTTCAATAGCAAGTTCACTTACAAAATTCCCAGCTTGGTGGTAACACTTTTTTTTGGCAAAAGATAGTGAATATAATGAACGCCACTGATTTATACTCTTAGAAATGATTAAAATGGCAAACTTTATGTTATACATACTTTATCACAATGAAAAAAACACAAAAAAAATCCCAGCTTGGCCTCCTGTTTGACATCAAGCAAGTTATTTCACCTCAGAATTAAGCTGCTTCCCAGAAAAAATGGGATAAAGGTAAGGGCTGAGGACTCAGCAATAATGTCTGCAACCAGGACAGTAGGTGGAGGTGCTCAGAGGTGCTGACCCTGGGCTGGAGCGCTACCCCTCACTTGGTGGCCCCAGAGGCTGTTGTTTGGATGCAACTCTCTATGTATCTCTATCTCCCTTGAGAAAGGAGCTTTGAGGTGTTAACAAGTGCTGGCAGGAGGAAAACAGCAAGAGAAAACTGATTCTGAACAAAGACTTATCATGAACAGCCTTGCAGCAACAGGTCAGGACCTGGGTCTGGCCTCTCTCTGCACCTCAGCTCTCAACAAGGCTGGGCGCCATGTTGGTACCAAGGAACTATAGTTAAGTGGACCAGAACTTATCCTCCCAACTACTTTACAACAGAAGCCGGCAGCAATTGGGATCTTGGCCCAGTCACTTCACCACCCTGATACTCTTTCTTTCATCTGTAAAATGGGAGAGGATGGTGCCTTCTTCTAGGGCACCATCCTAGTAAAGACTCAGTGAGAGGAAGACATCTAGACCAGTGCTTGCCCATACAAGAAAGAGACCAATGGATAGCAACATATTATGATAAGAAATAGAATGTTACAAAGCTGGCAAAAGGCTAAGGTAGAACTTGAACCAGAACTTCTGAGTCACCACCCAGACTCTTCTGACATTGAAAGGAATCAGCTGTGCAAAATGTCTGGCATACAGGACTAGGGTAGGGTCCCTACTATCTAATAGGTACACTCATGCTGAATGCACACTGGTCACCTGGCTGAGCACAGAGGTCTGTTCATGTACATGGACAGACATGGCCCAGGCCCCAGGAATGCAGACATGCACATGGTGGTACACTTCCTCAAACGCCTGGGGTTACATGATCCCCTGGAGGCAAACATAGACTGCCACATGATTGTATGCCCACCCATCTCTTACTGAGCACCTACTGTCCACAGGCCAGACTCTTTACATTAGTGGTTCTCAGTATTTGGTCCCCAGTACCACACAACGACTTGTTAGAAATACAAATTCTCAGGCCCCATTTTGACCTGCTGAGTCAGATATTCTGGGGATGGACCCCAATCAACTCTATTTTTACCCTTTCTGAGGCTTCTGATACACATCAAAGTTTTAGCACTTCTAAGCTGTATGATCTCCAATCAGAATAGTGGTGGTGGTGGTGGTGTGTAGGCTTTCCAAGACTGTAAGTCTTTATGGCAGCAGAAAGACCCATCTTTCTCCTGTGGAATGGCTGGTAGAATCTAACTGCTGACCTTGTGGTTAGCAGCCAAAGTTGTAATCCATTATGCTATCAGGGTTCCTTCCAATCTGCATAAGAACTCTATAATGTTCAACTCCTATTTTACAGGCAAAGAATTAGACTCAGAGACACGCCCCAATGTCATACAGCCAAGAAGTAGTGAGACTGGGATTCCAACCCAGCTCTGTGGGGCTCAGGAGCCTATGACGCGTGTCCTCCAGGTTGTGCTAATAGAGACCTGTATCTCCACTCACAAGGAACCCTGGTGGCACTGTGGGTTAGGCAGTGGTCTGCTAATCCCAGAGTTGGTGATTCAAACCCACCGGTTGCTCAGAGGGAGAAAGATGAAGCTGCCTGCTCCCGTAAGGGTTTATAGTGGCAGAAATCCTATATAGGGCCACTATGAGTCAGAATCAACTCAGTGGCAGTGGGTTCTTTTGGGTCCCTACTGGTGCAGCACTGTGGGTTAAGGTGCCGGACTGCAAGGTTGGTTTGAACCGCAAGGTCAGTGGTTCAAGCTCAAAATTGTTTACAGGGTTGCTATGGGTCAGAACGGACTCGATGACACTTCACAATAACAAAAACATACACATGGGGAGCACGATGGATCTGCAAGTTAAGCACTGGACTGTGAACCAAAAGGTCAATGGTTCAAGCCCAACAACCACTCCATGGGAAAAAGATGAGGCTTTCTGCTCCCACAAAGATTAGCAGCCTATACAGGGTCACTATGAGTCAGAATTGACTACCCAGTATTTAACAACAATCCATACATGAGCAATTATTGTCATTCTCCTAGGAGAACATGTCTGTCCCACCCCCTTTCATGGATCATACAATAAGCTCATGTGTGCCTTAGGGCCTTTGCACGTGCGGTTCCCACTTCATGAGGAACTTCCTGTAGTTCTTTCCGTGACTGCCTTTTTGTCATTCCTGAGGTGTCAGCTCACACAGCCACTTCTCAGAGAAGATCTCTTAGCAGAAGCAGAGCCCTTGACAGTATCCCCGCTCCCTATTGCTTGTTCATTGCACTTAAGCCTATCTGAAATTCTCTTGTGTATTTATTGGTTGGTTTCTTATTACCTATCGTCTCCCTCTACAATATAGCAATGCAGGAACCTTATTCCCTGTGGTAACCGTTAGAAAAATTCCTGCCTGGCATGAATTTTGTTGAATGAAAAGAAATTAATGAACAACCAGTGGCATATGCAGATGTGTCTGGAAGTGATCCCAGCCACACGCCTAAGCAGGACACTCCTATACAGCGGATCTGGGTCACTGTCACAGGGAAAGCCTTGCCCACACACACCTTCATACCGACACCTTCTGAGGGGAGTCTAAGAGGACCCTGTAGAACGTGGGGCAAGGCATTCTGAGTGCTTGGCTGACTCAGGGAGTGTGTCTGGAGTGTGTGTGTGTATGTTTGTGGTGAGGGAGTTCACTCACCTTAAGATCAGTGGGGAATTCCTCCTTCTTCACCAGGCCTGTGGCTGCTGCGATGTTCCCAGCCCCAGAGAACACGGCCCCTCCCAGATGGGATGCCTGCTCCTTGGTTTTCTCAGCCACTGGGTCAGGGATGGAGTGAGGGAATGGGGTTGAGGACCAGAGTGAAGGGCAGGCATAGGTCCCCCTCTCACTGCAGGGGCCTCCCCAGGGAACAGCCTTCATTGAGGTCTTGGGGGCAACAAATCCCCAGATTCTGGGTGAGGGAGGGGGCTGGGCCAGACAGGGCTAGTACCTGAGGTAACGCCGTGTACCACCCCCTCTCGAGTCTTGCTTCCTGCAGGGAAAAAGGGAATATATTTAAGGGCTCTGAACCAGAAAACAGAAATTCTATGCCCACACAGTGGTTACCCATGGTCAGAGGGACCCAGTCAACAGAAGGCAGCCAGACTTGCAGCCTCATTGGGTATTCTCAAACACAGTCTCCACATCCCACAAACCCTCCCTCCTCATGCTAGCCCCTTCCTCACAGCTCATTGCAGAACCCAGCTTCCTGGGGACTTCCACTCCCACTCACTGTCTGTCCCCTCATCCCCATCTGATCACAATACCCACACCCGATAGTGGTGGCAGTTGAGTGTCAGCCCCATGTGAACACTTCACTGGCACCCTCCATGTAGTCCTCACCTAGTCCCAAGAGGTGGGTGCTGCTACAGTCCCTTGCACAGATAGAAAATGTGCAGCAAGGATAAGAGCTGCCTGGGGGTCCTACAACTAGTAGATGGCTGAGTCAGGCCTCTAGGCTCCCAAACTCTATAAGTATGAAGCTCAGATAGGGATAACGGTAAGAGTAAGGTGGGGACAGAGGGCAAAAAAGCTGCTTATTTGGAAAATTCCCTTGGTCCCCTGGTGCATGGCTCAGTTGTCCACATCCCACCAATGGACACCGACATGACCTTCCTCCATTTCCCCTTAACAAGGGATAAATCCCTCCTTCTGGCCAAAATGGGGGATGTCTCAGTACAGGCTAGACTTAAGCAGGATGTGCAGATTGTGGCTGGGCCTTCTGGGAAGGTATGACTACAAAATGTGGGGCTATTGGGAAGAGCAAGGGGTCTGGTGACCTAGACAGCAGTAGACAGACTCAGAAATGGGTGTCTGGGAGGATTGATGTAGTGGGATGGAGCAGGGGGGAGGAGGAGAGTTCGGCAGCATAGGAAGACAGTCTTCTCAAGATGAAGACCATTTAGAACCAGGAGACAAGAGGGGACAGTCTGTTATCCACCCCGGCCGGCCTCCCACAAGCATTTGTTTGTACCTGCTGTATGTCAGGGCCCGGGTCAACTGCTTCCTGTCCAATGGGGTTAAGAAAGGAGCCAATTCCAGGCCTTGGACATTAAGTATTAGGGAGAAGACTTCCAGTCTCAAGGGGCTGGGAACTGGGGGGGTACACAATAGGGAGGATGCACTGCTGGACCTTGACAAATGGGAAGCAGAGGAGATGCAGAAAGGAGACTGGATGTGGAGACAGAGGGACACACAGAGCAAGCACAGAGGGCTGTCAGCAGGGCCCACAGGAAGAGCATCCAGGCAGGTCTGTGTGCCAGGAGCAATGGGTGTAGTGAGAAACAAGTAGGGTGCGGTGGGATCATGAAGAACATTGAATGCCAGGCTACCGAGAGCTGAGGCTTTAAAGTGTAGGAACTGCAGGGTCACTGTGGGTTCCTGGAGGCAGGAATGAGGGGGAAGGGTAGCATGACTTGAGTGGTGGAGTCTATGGGCAGGGAGACAATGTCAGTGGGATCAGGGTTCAACAAATGGGGAGGAACTGAGGATGAGGCCAAAGTGAGGCCAGAGCTAAACACTGGTAAGCATGGGTTCAAGCCTTTTCTCTGTCTCCATCAATAGTACCCTTGCCATTCATCCTCATCTGGTGGCTGCACTACCTCCCTGTGGGACTTTCTGCACTATGTTCTACACTTAACAGCCTGAGGGATCTTAGGATCTAAAATCAACCTCTTATGGCAGTTATAGTCATGCTTTGCCCTGGGTTAAAGGGCCTTCTCATGAACAGGTCCTTGCCTGCCTCTTGGATCTAGCTCTTGCCCTCTACAGAGCCCAGTCTCTTCTCATCCACCCTACCTCAGGGTCTTTGCCCTTGTCATTCCTGCCCCAGACCTCTCTGCCTGGATCTTTCACATTATTTAGGCCTCAGCTCATAAGTTCTCTTCTCAGGTAGTCCCTCTTTACCTGCCACCCAAAGGAGTCCCCACCTGAACCATTTGGTGTCAAATTCCATTGCTAAAATGCTCTCTATTCCCCCCGCTAAGATTTTCTGGTTCAACTTGAGGAGAGAAGATACCTCTATCTCTCCTGCTCACTGCTACACCCTCGGCATTCGCATAATGCCCTGCACATACATAGTAGGTGTTGAAAGAATATTTGTAAAGCAACCATAATTTCAAACCTGCCATGGCCATGGGCAAGCTACTTAACTTTCTGAGCCTACAAAAGGGGTAATTATACCTGCTCCACATCAGCAGTCCTGAATATGGACTCAGTAAATGTCAATTTCTGGCCCTCCCTTTCTTTATGCAAATAGCCCTGCAGGCCTAGTTTCCTCACATTTAAGGTGAGAGATTTTAACTGCCTGGTCTTTCCCTAGACACCAGCTGGCAGCTGCAGGGAGGATGGATCCATGAGGAGAGATAACAGTGGTAGAACCACAGGCACTGGGAAACAGGGAGACCTAGAGAGCTGCTCAGCAGTGGAGGCAGCAGAAAAGGAGGGTTGGGAGAGAGAACAGGGATCGTGGGGGGGGGGGGTCCCCAAACATATTGTCAGGAGTGACCAGTCACTGGAGAAGGATATCATGTTTGGTAAGGTGGAGGGTCAGAGAAAATGAGGAAGACCCCCAATGATATGGATTGGCCAAGTGGCAGCATGGATGGACTCAAGCGTGGCAACAGTAGTGAGGTTGGCCCAGGATAGGGCAGTGTTTCGTTCTGCTGTGTGTAAAGTCGCTATGGATCGGTACCAACTCGATGGCACCTAACAACAACAACAAAGCTAGGTTTCGGTGTGGAATCCTGGTATGGCATTGTAGGATAAGCACTGGACTGCAAACCACAAAGTTGGCGGTTCAAAGCCACCAGCTGCTCCCTGGAAATCCTGTAAGGGTTGCTGTGAGTTGGAAACAACTCATGGCAAACAACAGCAAAGTTAGGTTCAAACCCCAGCCTTGGCTTTACCAGCTCTGTGACCTTGGGCAGGAAACCTGTGGGAAGCCCAGTTTTCCTAATCTGTAGAATGGGCTGGGAGCACAAATGAGGTACTGAATGATATACAACCTTGGTATATAGTGAGGGCTCAGTAACAGGTAACTGTTAATAATGATAAAGACACTAAAGAACTAAAATAAGACGAGTTTCTGCTTGTATTACTGCATAGGTTCCCTGGCCTTTCAGCGGAACCCCATTCTCATCACATTCATGCTTCACTGACCCAGGCTTCCATCTGCTGACTATGTCCCCACTGACCCCTGCTGACCCCGCCCATCTGCTGACTCATATTCTCCTGCCCAGACCCCGACTGGCTCTAAGGACCCTTGACCCTCCCCTCCAAGGGCATTCCAACCCTGAAGCTGTGGAAAAACAGCCCCTTGCCCACCGACGTAGAGGACGCCCTCCTTGGTCTTCTCTGCGGCCTCGGTGACCCCCTGCTTGGTTTTCTCCGCGGCTGCCACGACGCCCTCCTTGGCCATGGACAGGCCCTTCATGAACATGTCCATCCTGGCGGCCTGGAGAGGGCGAACACACAGGCCCCCGTACCCTGGCTCTGCACCCTCAACCAGCCATCCCCTAGGGGTCCCCGGTGCCTCCTCTCCTCCCTCCAGAGACTGCAGTACCCTCGGGGCCCAGAGCCGCTGCCCCCACCTTTCCCCTCTCACTCCCACCCCAGAGCAGCCTCAGGGCCGCGGTGAGTCCTAGCGTCCTTGAAATCCGGGGACGCGGGAGGGGCATCCGCCTCGGTTATCCGGGGCCCTGCAACCTGCAGCCCTACAGAACCGAGTCACTCAGGGCGAAAACTCAGGGCTTTCCTGTCACACACAACAGAATCACACGGCCAGGCACACATAGACATACAACCACGGGCACGCTCACGTGCACATACAGGACATACACTGAAACACACACGGACAAACGGGCTCGGACGCACGTCCTCACAGCCACTCAGAAAACTGCAGACACACACCCTGGGGTGCACATTGACACGCACCCATCAGCGCCTCCTCACCATCCCCGACCCTGTCTCCATCCCCTACGCTGTCTCCATCCCATCCCTCTCCCTTCCCTTCCTCATCTCCACCCAGCTCCTCTTCATCCTCATCCCTAGTCCCATGGCCTGGCCCCCCCGCGCGTGGCGCCTCACCTGGATGCAGGGCCCGGGCTGGGGATGGATCTGAGGCTGCGGCAGGTGAACGCGAGGGCTCGGCAAGGCCGGGCTGGGTAAGCTCGCAGCGACGGGAGATCGTGTAGTGGCCAGGAGCTCCGGCCAGTAGGCAGCAGGCGGGGCGCAGACGCTGAGCCGCGGCGCAGCAATACCCCGGCCTTGGGTGCGTTGCCAGCCTCCGCTCGCTCCTCTTGCCCTGATTGCTCGCTTGCTCACTCCAGCTCCAGCTCACGCTCAGTCTCCGGCTCCAGCCCGCGCGCTGCCGCAGCTCTGAGCTCAGCGTCTCCACTGGCCGCTGCGCCGCCCCCTCGGCCTGACTGACAGGGGGCGGGGCGGGCGACAGTTCTCGGAGCCTAAGAGCCACCCGGGGCCAGATGGGGACGTGTCGCTGGGGACCCCGGGTCACCAGATTTGCACCCTGCCCCCAAGAGCCTACTATGGTGGGACAGACGTGCCAAGCGTAGGGAAGAAACAATGTAATTGGCTTTGGAGTTTGACGTTCGAATCCTGGCTCTGGTTTTATTTTTTTAAATCAATGGTGGGACCTCAGACCAGTTTTCTCTTGTGTAAAATATGGCAAATTCTAGGCTGGAGAGAGGGAAGGGTGGGGGGAGGGACAAACAAGGCCCCTGCTCCCTGCTTTCCTGGAGCTGGGGGTAGGAGGCAGGACAGAAAAATGACTATGTCAACATTTAATTTTAAACAAGGCTATTTCAGCTGTGATAAGTGTTCTGAACATAAAACAGTGTCGACGGGATGCTGAGATATAGGCGTCAGGGAAGACCTCTCTGGGGAGGTGAATTTGAGTAAGGACCCAGGAAAGAGGCCACCAAGCCAAGGTGGATAAGGGCAAGATCTGAAGAGGGAACTGCAAGAGCAAAGGCCCTGAGGCAGCACGGTGTTTAACCAAAATCAAACCCATTGCTATCAGAGTAGAATACCATCATCATGACCTGATAGGGGAACAGACAGCCTCATCTTTCTCCCATGTAGGCAATTGACCTTGCCTAACACTTAACCACTACGCCACCAGGGCTCCCTGGCACTGTGCTTGTTGTAGTTGTGAAGTGCCATCAAGTCCATTCTGACTCATAGTGACTCTATATAGGGTTTCCAAAGAGCGGATGGTGCGTTTGAACTGCCAACCTTGTGGCTCAAAATGGCCTTATCCTACAGCTTAAGGTCAAGGGCTGATCCTACAAAGCCACACCAGGCCTCCAGCACTGTGCTTGCTGTTGTTGTTGTTGTTAAGTGCCGTCGAGTCGGTTCCGACCCATAGTAACCCTATACAGGGTTTCCGAGGGTGTAAATCTTTACGGGAGTAGAAAGCCTCATCTTTCTCTCGCGGAGCGGCTGGTAGTTTCGAACCGCTGACCTTAAGGTTCACAGCCCGATTCGTAACCACTACTCTACCAGAGCTCCTTTTAGGAACAGACAAAAGACTTGTGCAGCCCAAGAGCCAGAAAGGACCGAGAAAGGGGAGCACAAAACAAGCTTTTTGTGTGGTTCTTTTGAACATTGTCAAAACGGACATAGAATGCACAGTAGCCCCATAGCCAGTGCTATGATAGAATTAGACCCAAAATGCTGTGGGATCCCAGAGGATGGAACTCTGACTGCTTATGAGAGTCAGGAAAGGCTTTTGGAGGAGGTGATATCTAAGCTGAGCCATGAAGAACTGGTAAGGTTTCATCTGGCAAATAAGAGAGAAAGGAATTCCAGGCTGTGAGTACCTGGGCAAAGGCCCTGTGGTCAAAAATACAGGTGTGAGCATGACAGGTGATGAGGTGAAGGGCCAGCCAGCAGTCAGACTATGAAAGGCCTGGAAAATTGTTGACAGGTCATTGCTAGGACTGCAAATTGGCGCAGCCTTTTTGGAAGACAATTTGGCAATGTTTATTAAAAACATAAATACATGCTCCTTTTGAGCCAACAATTCCCTTTCCAGGAATGTATCCCATGGCTCTCTATTTGCACAAGCATACAAAGACATTTTCACAAGGATGAATGTTCACTGCAGTAAGGTCTATCATAGCAAAACCCAGAAAATCACCTAAATGTCCACCCATGAAGGACTGACTAGTTCATGGTAGTAGATCCACCTAGTAAAATGGAATGCTGCCATTAGAAAGGATGAGCTAGATTTGACACATTGGAGTGTATCAAGATACATTGTTAAGTGAGAGAAGCAACATGCTAAAGTACATGAAATATACAGCCATTTTGATACATAGAAGAGGATATTAACATATGTGGCACTGGAGAATAAGCACTAGTCTGTAAGGTCAGTTTGAACTGCCAAGGTTGATCATTCGAACCCACAGTCACTTCTTGGAAATCCCATACAGGGTAGCTATGAGTAGGAACCTACTCAACAGCACTTAACAACAACATTTAGATCTGAATACAAAGAACCACCATGTGTCCATCAGTTTGTCATACTGTGGTGACTTGCCTGTTTCTGTGCTGCTGGAAGCTATGTCACCAGTATTTCATATACCATCAGCGTCATTCACAATGGACAGGGGTCAGTGGAGCTTCCAGACTAAGACAGACTAGGAAGAAAGGCCTGAGGGTCTACTTCTGAAAATTAGATAATGAAAACCTATGGACTACAAGAGAGCAATGTTCAACTCACTTGTTTTGGACATGGCATCAAGAGGGGACAACTGTTGAAGAAGGCCATTGTGTTTGGTGAAGTAAAAGGCTAGCGAGGTTGAGGGAGTGGAATGGATTGTCACAAGAGCCACAACATGTTGGACTTGACTTGAATATGCTGTGATCTTGAGGATTATATAGGCAGATTTGGGCAGCATTTGCATTCTGTTGTACATAGGGTTACTATGAGTCAGTATCAACTTAATGTTGTCTGTCCATCTGTCCATCAATCCATCCAAAGAACACATCTGCCAGGATTTCTGTAAAATTTCTTAATTAACTAGTTGGACTCTGTGAACTAAGAAGGCTCTTGGAAAAAGATTTTACATTTCATTTTCCTCTTTCTTGTACTGCTTGGTTACATTGCTTTGACTAGTATCTTCCCTGTATAATTTTTAAAATTAGAATAAGGGACACCTGTCATTATATTTGGTCTCTCGACATTGGAATTGCCCCCTTCTGGTAGCGTAGTGGTTACGAATGGGGCTGCTAACCTCAAGGTCAGCAGTTCAAAACTACCAGTGGATCCGTGGGAGAAAGATGAGGCTTTCTACTCTCATAAAGATTTACAGCCTCGGAAACCCTGTGCAGGGTCACTATGAGTCAGAGCAGACTCCACGGTACTTAACAACAACAACAACAATGTTTGGTTATCCTCCACATTATGAGGCAGGACTCATTCCCCTCCACCAGGAGTAGATGATGCCAAGTACTTGCTTTCCCAGCCTGCCCTTTAGCTAGGGCCTGGATGTGTGACCAGAGTCCTCCACATAGATACACCACCCTTACAACCTGAAGCTGGTGCCAGGGAAGAAGGGGAGTCTGTTCTGGAGAGGAGGGAAGTGGCAGTACCTTTCTGAGTACAGACCATGGGCTTCAAAGACACTGGTTCTAGGAGTGTCCAGCATCACTGGTCGCAGATCAGGAAACTCTTCATGGGACTGCTTGGCTCTGAGATTTGAGGCATCATTTGGGTCCCATGGTTTCCAAGATGACTTTTCTGGGCCTGTGAAGAATTTTTGAGATAAATAACCTCCTTATCTGCTTATATTAGCCAGAAGTGAGTTCTGTGACTTGTGACTTAGAACCCCTGAAGATGGATCAAAAACAGGGAGATGATGCTTTGGATTGACAGCAAGTTGGCATTTGAAGAGTTTATAGTAGCACAGAGGGTTATGGGAACCCAAAGAAGAAGAGGCTTCTATGGAAAATCTCCCAGAGAAGATGACAATTAAGTTAGGTTTTGAGAGATGTTGATTCTTGCAGTTGATAGTGAGCATTCCCAATAGAGGATACAGTGGGTAGAAAAGTTGAGTTTTGAGGGAACAGAAAAGAGTTTGAATTCTGAACCTGGTGGGAAGTGTATTTGGGAGGATTTAGAAGAAAGAACCTCTTTTTCCATGTGGGAGACCTGGGTTTGGTCCCCAGCCAGTGCACCTCACGCACAGCTACTGCCATCTGTCAGTGGAGGCTTGTGTGTTGCTAGATGTGAAATAGGTTTCAACAGACTTTCTGACTAAGACAGATTTGGAAGAAAGGCCTGGTGACCTACTTCCAAAAATCAGTCAACAAAACCTATAAAGATCTATAAAGATCACAAGGATCTTACAATTGATCATGGGGATGAGGAAGGACTGGACAGCGTTCAATTCCATTGTCCATGAGGTTATCATGAACCAGTGTCTGCTTTGACTACAGCTAAGGAGCTCAGGTAGCGTAATGGTTACCAGTAGGGCTGCCAACCTCAAGGTCAGCAGTTCGAAACTACCAGCCGTTCTGTGGGAGAAAGATGAGGCATTCTGCTCCCGTAAAAATTTACAACCTAGGAAACCCTGTGCAGGGTCACTATGAGTCGGCACTGACTGCATGGCACTTAACAACAACAAAAACAACAGAGGAGTCCTGGTGTGGCGCTGTGGTTTAATGCGCTGGACTGCAAAGTTGGTTTGAACCACAAAGTCAATGATTCAAGCTCACCAGCTGCTCCTTGGAAACCCTATTACAGGGTTGCTATGGGTCGGAACCAACTTGATGGCACTTAGTAACAACAACAACAGAAAAAAGTACTGTAGGATAAGCATTGGACTACTAACCATATGCAGGGCAGTTCAAACCCACCAGTCACTTCTCAGGAGAAAGATGAGACTTTCTGCTCCCGTAAAGATTTATAGTCTCAGAAACCCTGTATAGGGTTGTTGTGAGTCAAAACGAACTCAACAGCACCTAACAATAACAGTAACAGCAGAAGCTTAGGCAAAATAACACTATTTCACTTTAGAAAGTCCAATAGTAGGGCAGCCCACAGTTGACGTGATGACTTCATAGTCAGCAGGGACCTGAATCCCTTCTACCTTCTTG